AGAGCTCACCCTGCATGAATGGAGCTCAGTGTTTGGACCTCTCTAACGCTTATCAGTGTGAATGTGTGGGACAATATTTCGGCGAGCGCTGTAATAAAAGTGCGTATAATTTTTACTCTGCTATTTAATTGATAGCAAAGAATTTATTCGTATTGTCTATAGTTGACGTATGAATGTTTCAATAAGCCGAAGATTGGGTGATTGTGCCAGGTATATGAAAAATGCTAGCTATTTCTTAGCTTATTACGATATGTGGCACTTAAAATATCGCCCAGAGAATGGTTGGTTGCGTATGACAAAATTTTTTGAGTTATTGCGTCATAAAGGTGATTCAAGCTTACGCATTTCGAATGTTCGACTTTTCTTACATCCGACTACTGACTGATTATGCCGTTTATCAGCAATTTAAATTACATTGTAATTAATTATAAAAAAAAAAACGCTTTATGCAGTAAATCTTTTCTAACTTTGTGTCAGCCATTTTCGGACATAATATTTTTCGCGAAGAAGTTTGTTCAACAAAGACGTTCATCTGATCTGTAATTTAGATTACATTGTAATTAATTGTAAAAAGAAACGATTATACAGTAAATATTCAGCAACTGCCAAGAAATGATTCAACCCTTCTCCTATTTTATTTTATTGTATAGTCGAAGGTGGATGCAGTTTTGAAGACGATTTTTGTGGATGGGCATCTGAATCGCTTTCATACAAATGGATACGACAAGATGGAAATAGTCCGAATTGGCCGCTCTCTGGCCCAAGAACGGATCACACTTTTTCAAACGGTAGAATGAGACATAGAAAACATATCCATGTTTTTGAAGGATCAATCATTGATACCCTGATATGTCATATTGAAAAATTAAATTACTGTATCAATATTTCTCGCATTGACTCGTGCTGAAGGTGGTCGTTCGATACCAAATTGAACGGTTATGGACTGATGCCAAATGCCAACAAATTAGTCGAAATAAATTTAAATATTCAGTAGGTTATGACGTGTAGAACCTTCTGTTTCACTTGCCCGGGTATCTGCTCGTATGCCAAAGAACTATTTAACATACCAATACTTTTACAGGTTCTGGGTTTTATATTTTCACTGAAGTATACAGTGACCAGCCTGTCGAAGGCACCCAATATAGATTTGAATCTCCTACATTTTTAAAGAGTGTTGTTGAACCAGGAAAAATTTTAACATTTCAATTTTATTATCATATGGTTGGAACCGGGATGGGAAATCTCAATGTTTATTTTAAAGGTAAATAACATTCGAACCTGATTGCGGTATGATATGATTAACGATTATTGTGAATTTATTCACAGTTTATATATTTGCGAAACATTTTTCATAAAGGTATATATATATTTATCATGAGATGTTAAAAAGAAAATATGGGGGGAAAGCCAAAGTTAACTTATTAATTGTTTTTGTCCCTATAACCGATATATATCGATTGGCGCAAATAGGCATAAGTAAACGCCGTAATAAATAACATAAATAAACAAAAAACACCAAATTTCTGACTGATGAATTATTTTTTTTTTCGAAGTTCTACCTAATTTTAGTAGCTCATTGGTACACATTTTGCGCTAGTGACAAACGTATTCACAGTATTGTGTTATAAAATGCAAAAAAAAAAGTTTATACAAATAAATTTTTCAATTTCCTTCATTTTGTTATTGAAGATGGCGGTACTACTCAACTGAAAGATCAAATTACACAAGATGAAACCGCTGCGGATTGGCGACTTTATTCAAGAAAATTCGAGCCAGTATTTGACTTTGGTTTCATCATTGAGCACCAAACAGTGAAAAGTGTGTTATATCTGGCTGATATGGCAGTTGACGATATAGATATACTTATTGAAGGTAACTATTTATTCTTTTTGAAAACAGGTCCACGTGTTGCATTATTATCAATTAGCTGTTAATTGATTTTCTCAATGCCTTTGTATCCTTCTTGAAAATTCTCCATTTCATCTGACCTGAGCATTTCAAATTATTTTGACTCGAATTGCACTTGGCACTTCAAACTGGTCAACTTGAATCAAATTCGATGAATTTGAATAAATAATTTTCTATTGGCGGATTTTTCTATACTTTTACTTCTAACAAGACCCTGTACGAGCAATCATTTAACTAAGCTGTAAAGGACCGAAAGTTTGGAAGGTATTGAATCTCTTTTCTGTGCTTCCCATTATTTTTGATCATATTTGCATAATTATCAGTTATCACTCGTCAATTTATTGAGATGAAATTTAATATTGGCAGACTCAGGAAACACTCCAGATACTACCACAGTCGTTACAACAATACAGACGACGACTAAATCAACTACAACTATCAAAGTTACTGATCCACCCACAACCACCAAAATGCCAACGACAACCAAAACTGTTGATTTAACTCCAACAATAAAACCAACGACGATAATGGATACTTCGACTCTTGGTATGCTTTTTATTGTGTTTCTAACGTGTTGTCATGCGGTGAGAAGTGTAACAAAATAACACGGTAAAGAAGCTAGCAGGAAAGTTATAACGTGTGGCGAATGGTAGCCGGACAAAATTTAATACAATGCTAAAAATTCTTGAGGGTTAGAATTAATCAACGGAAGACAGATTGTCTGATATAGACCACTCATATTTTTCTATACAAAATTCAAATTTTCGAAAGTGTGGACTTTTTTTCGCAATGTGTGCTTGGATTCTTGTACTGAACAAAACCTACAAGAAAAAATAGCAGTTAAACAGTAAAACTTTACGAAGATAGGTCATACTTGCTTCGAGATCCTTTAAAATGAGGCGATACCCAATCTATCTTCTTCGCTGCTTAATTTCTATACCCTCTGACGCTTGACGGCGCTAAATACGATTCTAATTCAAATTTATTAGTGGTAAATAGCAGCCAATCCCTTCCATATATATTATCTTATTTGGTATTATCATTTATGCTAGTAATAACAACTTTGTGCGACGATGACGATGAATGTGATGACGATAATGAAGACGATGGTTTAGATGGAGGAGCAATAGCTGGAATAGTTATCGGGGTATTGCTCGCCACAGTCGGTCTTGTCTTTTTAGCATTTATTGTATACACGAGAAGGACTGCTGCACACCAAACTCTAGCTGATGGTGGTTCGGGCGTACCATTAAGTAAGTCAGGCATTCCTAACGCAGGGTATGTCGGTGAATTAGATTTGTAATCAAAATTTTACATATTTTGAATTCGTCTCGCGTTAACAATGTAAATATATCATGAGTGTTCATACGTACACGTTACGGCGCATTGAATGTAAAGTAAAATTGTTATATCTTATATGAAATTGCAATATTGTTTCAAGAGTTACTTGCAACTAGTTTTATTGCCCTAAGCTAGAGACGGCCAGAGACTTTGTGCATGAAAACTAAACGTTTTTGAAGTAAATTTTATTTCTGAAACCATATATATTATGTTATAAATGGAAAGGTATGCATTTATTGTAAACTTTGGTATTACGATATTACAACTCTTATCTGCATTTCATGCAAATATAAAAAAAAAAAAAAACTTTTTTTTTTTGCATCTGAATCAGTCGTCACAAATATACATGTTGATCCTGCAAAATTTTTAAAAAAGATTGTGCAAAACTACATTTTTTTTAAAGTATATATATTGATTCTAATTCAGTAGCCACAGACTATCAGCCATCATTACCTCTATCTAGATCAACGTATCGCACGAGGTACTTCACATACTTTTTGTTATAACGTCGCTTTTAAACTCTTTTCACCTTCCGGGCCTTGAAGTAATTCAGTGATACAACGTATATCATTGTCATCTTTTTTGTTTCATTTTTTCACCAATCTCCTGAGATCTTTCTCTGATAGTTGATTCTACACAAAGTGTTTTCTCGTGGTTCTAATGAATGCAGATGTTTATCATTCCCTCAGTGTTATTGTATACTTAACTATGCAAATAAATTGAATCTGTGCAATTCTTCAAATAAAGAGTGTCGCTTGGTACATTGCATCGGGTTTTTACAAATCTATTCTCAATCCAATAATAGAAGGCTCGAGACATCTAGCGGGGGGTTTTAAATTTAGTAACAGATTTCCTTGATTATGAGCAATTACACACAATTCCAGGAATTTTTTGCAATAAGGTATATATGTAAATGAGGAAAATTTCACCGTATACGAAAACGAAAGTTTTTTGTTTACTATTTCTTCTTTGTGTCGAAGAGGCTTATTACTATAATTTAATTTTAGTGTATATTTGAAATCGCGGATCCTTCATATGTCCCGTTTAAAAAAAAAAAATTAGCTCACTTCATACTTTTTTTCCGCTGCTGTCAAGTTATAGCCAATAGCCCCGTTTCCCTGAAACCTATTTTTCCCTTTTTTACATTATGTGAGGCCTAATAAGGACGACATCAGTGGAAAATGCGGTGACGATACAACGCTGCTATTTAGTGTAGAAGAGATCGATTCAGAGTGGGGTTGTTGTTAAAGTTTGTCTTCTTTACGATAAAAATGTGGCATTGTCACAATACACCTGGGTCAAAAGTCAAATATGTTCTACCGCTTCAACCCCTTCATATATATTCAATACTTTTAATTGTAATTAGCAAATGATTATACTATGCCGATGCTGTGGACCGGTGGGAATCGTCTTATAATCTATTAAGTAGCCTGGTATTGTGGTACGCATGAAAGGAAATAATACATCGCCTGGGACACAGACAAAACATTATACATGTTTAAAGGACACTTAGGACTTTCCGAAAACAATAGGACTCTCGACTTGTCAGATTCAGACGTTGTAAACATGTTGGAACACAAAAAATATAAGAGAAAAACAACAATTATTGTGACGCTCAAATTGACCTGTTTAGATTTGTCGATAAAAAACCTGCAAACTTTATTTTTGATACAGTTTCATTTTTAGGTCGTAAATAATCAGTACTGATAGGCTGAAATACTGCAAATGAGAGATCAAATCTAGCTTTTGATGAGAGTATATCAGTTCGAAAATATAGACAATAAAACAAGAAGTTATGTTTTAAAAATTGATAAAGTATATAGCCTACCCATGGAGTAATAGCACATTTACGAATTCATGGAAGTTACCGTTTTACAGCTGTTAGTTAGTATCTGGTACCGAGGCCGCGTGTTGGTCGTTAATGTCGAGCTAGGATATGTAGCGCAGGTTGCCAGAAGATCGACATTCATACCTGAGCGTTTCGTAGCAGTTTCAACAATTGATATTCTATACGACTTCGAAACCTATTCAAGCACAGGCAAAACAATAGTTCTTCGATCCATTGAAAGATTGAAGCTTTTATCAAACTAATCGACACGATTTCTGGAAACAACGACTTTTATTTACTTACCCGTCGACAGATTGTTACGTAGCAACAGTGGTAGTGATTTAAATCTGTAACCTTGGAAATATAAATTCTCTGATGTACAGTAACGGCATATTTTACAAGTTGAAAATTTGGTGATAACCTGTGCTACGTTGAGGAAAGAAAAGTCAGATACAATGGAGCTAACACCTGTGACAAGCGCCAAAGATGGTGATCCACTGCAAACAAAATATTACTGTAAGGTTGAAAATTCGGAGGTATGATAATGATCTTATATATTTCATGCACTATTGTTTGTACAATTTGGTGATTATGCGATGATTCGGGTAAAAGGATACGTTGAAATGTTGTTTTTTATGTCTAAATTATGTTACAGAACATGAAAGTAATAATGGAGATGAGAGCAGTGGAACAGAAAAGTATTGAACCACTGCCGTTGCGATATGTTCTTGTTATTGATGTCAGTGGTAGTATGGCCGAACGTATTGGATTGCATCAAAAGCCACTGATTGAACGCGTTAAGGTAACATTGTTTAATACAGTGATAGGCCTAACTTTCCCAAATGACCAACATTCCGATTCAATTAATTGAAAAAAGCCTAAAAATTGGCATGTCGCACAACCAAGTAGGTGACATTTGAATCAAGATACTCGTTGATGATTTTAATTGCATGTAACGAATTATCAGCTATTCGACTGTTTATTGACATAGGAACATTAGTGTTAGGGGTTTCGTTTAAAGTTATTTTACTGCGCAACTCGGCTGAACGTTAGAAAGACGCGCGTCATTGGCTATCGATTTTCCCCGAGAATGATCCGATGCTGTACCCGTAGTCTTACCGTTGCTTTATTGCCTTTTCAATTAACACGATAATACATATCTCGATACCAGCAACAACTCGATTGATTTTGTACAGAGTCTACGTTGGACAAAAATGACACTAAAATAAGAAAAAACATCTTAAGTCATATTATTATTATATCTGATTTAGTGCACTATTTTTGTTATATATACTAGTAATCCACAATACTCACTTCATACGTCAACCACATTGCCATTCACGACTCAATAGTTAAACGACCATACTCTCCCATTTGTATATCTACTCGTTCACATTGACTATATTAATTGAAATAACTCATTCTATTTACAGTTATTTGCAGAACTGGCTGTTCGGAAAATGAATCCACGGGATTTCATTGCTGTCGTTACGTTTTCGGATACGTTTTACGTTGACATACCCATGACAAAAATGACACCAAATAATAAGGTAAAAAGAACTATTTTTATAATAACATCGTACTTATATCATCTGCTTAATTTTGATTTCTGAACCAATTTTGCGGTCAAATTGTTACTCAATAAAGAATGAAGAATAGATGAATGTAAAGAGTATTATTTCTGAACCGATGTTATTATATCCCCCTGTATATACTACGGCCTCTATATTTTGGCGAAGTGCGGGCTAAATCCATTCCTGGTTTCACCTTATTTGAAAAAAATATTGTTAGTCATACCTGCATTTCCCATGTCGGGCGTTGCATAATTTTTTGACGTAAATCCTAAATACTTGCATATGCTGAACACCTAAAGCTAAATTTATGTTTAGCCTAATCTGAAGTAAAAGAATTTACAGTCCCGTTTAAACATGATCACGGCTTATAACGCGATGTAAATGTGCTTCCTGGATTATGCTGAACCCCTCAAACTAGATTTATGCTTGGCCCAATTTGAAGTAAAAGAGCTTATAGTCCCGTTTAAACATGATCACGGATTAAAATGCGATGAAAATATTGTTCTTGGTTTATGTTTCATAATTTTGATGACTCTTCGGGTGTGCAAAATGTAATGAAATTTATATTAGCTTTCGGTAACGAATTTAATTTGTTGACAGATGATGGTGAGAAATCGATTGAAGCATTTAGAAACAAAGACAAATACAAACTTAGAATGTGGTTTGATGGGAGCGCTACAAGTCATTGACACGTATTGCCTGCGTTTGTATTTTTATAATATATAAAATAAATTTATTATAGAATTAGATTTTTTTATTCAATTTATATATTCAAAGTTATTAGTAAACTTTTTTGCATAATCAAAAGCAAATGATGCCATGTGGATATTAGTTCTTTTTTTACTATTGTAACTCGTATCACGCAGCTGTCTCCACCTCAGAAATAAATTCGCAGTTTTCATTATGTAAGAAGATACTATTTTTTAACGTACAGAGCTTGATGGTATATATATAGTTATTTCATGTATTATTTCAACTCTTTTTATCGCACTTTAACATCTAATGTCTATGGGAGTGTCCTATATATCACAAAAATGACTTCAGCTTCGACGAAAATGCCAGTATTATAAATAACATCGATTTAAAGATTATGATTCGTACACAAACAGAAATTCAAGCAGATACAAAAAATTTTCGTCCATCATTTTCGTAGGAGTAATTTAAAAAATTTCGAGTTCCGTTTTCCATTTTTCAGTGCCCCCAAAATGTATCGACCAAGTCGAGACTGCATTATTCTATTTACCGACGGAGAAGCGAACGAAGGAGAACTGAATGCAAAGAAATTGATTGAAAAATACAAACGAGTCCAGTCCAACATGAATAGAAATTCAGATGTACCTGTATCGGCCTTCACAATCGGAGGTTATCGCCCAGATTTGCTTATAGAGGTAGGAGAACTGTGCGCAAACAAACTTTCTGATGCTTGGAACCCGCGCGACAAGATTTAATTTTCGTGTTTTTTTACAAAGTATTATAAGTAAACAAAAATGATTTCTATCTTTTTTGCACAGATATCTAAACAATTAGGAAGTGAATCCTTTTATTGGTTGGACGATGAAGATGATTTTGAAGCTGATATGCTTATACCTATATTTTTGAGGTAAAATATGTATTACGAAATAACAAACATGTTGAAATTTTAATCTAAAAAAAGTCAACTTTTCCCCTAAAAGTATTTTTAATTCGCCATACATTGCCATATTACAATAGTGCAAATAGGGCGCAATCGTCTATTGGTCAGCTGTTTGACGTAAGGGTTTATGTTGATATCACAGATTAAAGATCTCAAACCCGAACCCTATATAATCCAAATACCATCTCAAGCTGTTACTTCTTTATGTAAAGAATTTCGATAGATTGGGGTCATTCCAAGATATTACGCTGGCACTCTTCTTCTTGTTGTTGTTGTTTGTATTCTTCTTGGTATCGTTATAAAATATCGCTTTTCTCATTGGTTACTGGATCATTTGCTTTGAAATTTTCAGTGAGTAAAGATTATATTTTTCGCTAGAAGGCTATTACTTTTATTTATTTCAAATATTCCGGTGAGCTGCAACGGATTCGTTTTGTGTGTGCTATGACGTCATCCGAATTTGCCTCTAGGTGGCGCTACTTATCCATATATTTGAGCATAACTCTCTTGTTACTAGCTTGCCATGAGCTTTGTTCAATGCAAAAGCGTAAAACAATCCGTAAAAAAAGTAAAATTGTATGTGTTCGATAAAAACTTTTTAATTTTTTGTTTTAACAGAGAAACAACTCACATCAGTGATGTGCGAATCAAGATGGATGCAAAGGCAAATTGTTATTTTAAACCTCTTGACTACAATGCAGCGCACCTTACGGTAAGCTCTTGGTATCCATCAAATATAAAATATCCATGCAATGTGATAAAAATACACCTAAATTGCGCACAAATGAACAATTGCATAAACATAACAATGGTTTATCTTTTTATAGTTTATTTTTTCAATTATATCAATTCATTTATTTTTCGACTGAGAGAGAGAAAACAGCGTCAGTACAACTATTATAACTGTTTGTTTCAACGTACGAATCATTATTCATATGTATATATATATACAACATCGTTTGCAGGCGGTGAAAGAGCATAAAATCAAAATAAAGAAAAACAAGAAAAGTAAGAAAATCAAAGAGCCGACGATTCTCTCTTACTTTCTTCATTCTTTACCCGATGATTGCATCAAGAATTTGCCGTTTCATTTGACTCTTCCTCACGTGGTAATCATTTGTTATTGTTTGATTTTTAATATCAACCTAGTGTAAACTGTACAACAAACATAATTAAACGATGACACTATTGCGACGTTGAAAGAAAATAATGTATTCAATGCTATATAGGCCCTGAACGGAGAAAGAATTGTTGACATAACAATACAATATCTTGATGCAAATCTGATGCCTCGTACAATGCAGGATTACATCACATTAAGTACAAGATCTTTGATGAGTTCAATAAATGAAGACGCTGTTGTTTTTTCAAACTTCACCGGATTGAGTGGTAAGTAACGTAATAGGAAGAATGATTGGCTGTATTGAGTCGCCATACCAATGATAACATCATCTAAAATTCAACGCAGTAAAATTGATTTATTTTGAATATATTATATATATATATATATGTCTCAGTAATGTAATGAACGAAGTGAAGTATAATTCGGCAGAATCAAGCCAAGCCAAATCCCATGCGCGTCAATGTGTCATTGCATCACAGATTACAGCATACTGGAGACCCGTTTTTCAGCAAAAATTTGTACTACTCTTGTCTGGTTTTAATAACCGAAACATTAAATAAGAAAAGTCAATCAGACTGTTTTATCAACTTTTTTTTGAGCAATTTATTGAACAAGTGTCACTGAACATCAAACTCGTTTTAGTTTTTTGGTATTTTTCGCACATTATTTATTATTGTTTTGTCTTCACTCAAAAGCACACCTCAGAGAAATATCAGCATTTATTATGCGCGGAAATAAGGAAGAAACCGCATGGAGTGAAGCCCAAGAAGTCATTTTCAAAATTGCTGAAGAAGAATGCAAAATTGTTGGAGTGAAAAGCATAACACAAGCTAGCGAATACGCTAAGTAAAATATAACTTTTTATATTACCCGTAGTTTGATAATTAAATTATTCTTGAATGAATACGAAGGCTCAGTCGACAAATCAAATATTTCAACAAATTTTTATATATGAATAGTGTAAAATGACTCATGACTGCACGATCATTCAATCGAGAAATAAATAAGCTTAACTAAATTAGAATATATTTTTGTCAACATATACACGATACGTTTCTAAATCACGTTTTGGTGTTTCTATGTTTTCAAATGTAATGATAATATTACTATAGCAGTTCGCCTATGTGTACTTTTTCGAGAAACTTTCATACTGGAAAAAAATCAATACCTAAAAATCGTAATACAAAATTAGCCTGAAAAAGATTCCAGAACCTCGATCACGCATAAAAAATTCGATTTTCATCAAATTGGTATGATTGCACACTAGATATACTTTCATAAACAATTGTAATGATACATTTTTCTATAATGAACCGTGATCGTAAACGGGCATACAAAAGAGTAATTTTTGAAAGTGGAGCATTTTACGTTTATTTTTACGAAACGCTTACTTGTTGCAGTGACGATGCACAAAATCCCCACGCAAGTTTTCGCGAAGCGTTTGAAGAAATAAATATGATTCGAAACAGAACTGTTCAATTACTTCCCAATGATGGCGAAACGACTGGAAGACTTGACGAAATGATTAAACGTTGGTCCTCTAGGATGACGCACGCGAATGACATTGTAGCTAAAAAAGAGTGAGTATAATTTTAAATATATATCTTGAATTTGAATTTTGTCTTTTGAGATATTGCACTATAAGATTGTTCAAAATAATGGTCATCAACAAGAAAAGATTGAAGGTGATCGTTCACAAAGTATTTGATTCATTGGTCATAAATTTATTTGAGCGGCGAAGACGCATTATAATGATACGTCAAGCTTTGGGTTTGAACAAAAATTTGATTAGAAAATAATTGTATACATTGACGACGGCACATCATTTATAATAATATATTGATGGCAGTAAGAAATACACACAATCTTTTAATTTTGATACAATATGTTTTTCATTCTCTCACGAGAATTCTTCTCTTATCGCATTTTTGTTTATTACAGTTCTAGAAATTTCTCTCTTCTTACGGTGACCGTACATTTGAACCCACGTTCATTTGAACCCATGTGTATATCCACGGGTTCAATCTATATGCGGGTGCTAAAACCCATGGGTTAGGGTTAGTATAGGTTTAACTATCCGTGAAACAAAAAAAAATTCCATAGGTGCAAAAGCATACAGGTGCAATGGTCATGGGTTCAAATGTACGTGGGTTCAAATGTAATGGAACCTGTTTTTCATTCTCTCACGAGAATGCTTCTCTTATCGCATTTTTGTTTATTACAGTTCTAGAAATTTCTCTCTTCTTACATCGATGGCTTCATCTATAAGCACAGAGAGCCCTACAAGCCTAGGAATATTTCGAGGAAGACAACCATTTATGACCGAAGTTCTTGAAAATAGTCTTTTGGAGGAAAGAAAGGTGAATTTTCATTACAAAATATGTCCTAATCAGGTCATCGAACATTAGCGTCAATTGTATAGTAATTTCTGATCCATGAAAACCATATGCTCATGAATTTGCTTTTTTATTGAGAACAAATGCTTTATATTGTACTATCAGGAGTCAGGACCTCAACATATAAACTTGCACGAAATTAAAATTGTGAACATAATGTATAATAGAAGGCTCAGGTACCGAAGTCTCTTGAGTTTTTTTTCAAGCTTAGGCTTACCTGCCACAAAGTCAAATAAACAAGAAATGGGATCGAAATGAATATATTTTCGACATGGCCATAGTACATAATATTTTAGACGAGAGATGAGCATAAATTTGGTTTTGATACAGAAGTGGTACACAGTATTATTTGATATATATATATATATATATAGTGCGCTTCATCAATATAAATATTTATTTCAGAATTTGGAAGTTGCCAGACGTATTCACTCAAGAGAAAATATAAATATCTAGTAAGTATTTCATGAATTATATAAAAATAAATTCACGATTCTTGACTGTTGATTTCTATTGCAGTGATTTGAAAGAACAGTTCCGTAGAGTGAAGGAAGCGGGTCATCTTGAAAAGATGGAGGAATGTATGCGAGGTAAACTACTGAGCAATATAATGAGTTTATTACTACAAAAAAAACTTTATTTTCCAAAAATTCATCTAAATCGACCACTTATATGATATATATATGCTTTTTGGAAAGGTATACAATTCTGAATTTCAGCGGTTAAAAAATCGGCACTGAAAAACTCAAAATAACTTCAGTAGTTAAACTACAAACCTGCAACAAACTCTTTGTTACTCTTTGGAACTATTGTCTTTTTTTTTAAACTATTTTTTTTTTCGAAACTCCTGGTATTAGCTTTGTTTGCATTCATGAATTTTTGGAGCTTTGCATTTGTATACTTATTTTTATTTTATACCATAATTTTTCAGACTTCAAAGGCCTCGAACTTTTCGGATACGACGTAGATGAGGAATACATCAAGTACACTGAAGATGAAATTGAGCATCGTCGGGAGCTTGAAAAGCTGAAAAAATATCTTGATGGCGCTATAGTAGATCAGGATATTTCAAAAATCGATAGTATTATCACACAGATTAAGGAGTTGCGAGATAAATCTATCAATTTAGCGTTTATAAGTACAGATTCAGAAGCACTTCAGAATGGATCGAAGCATCTTGCTTTATTGCGGCATAAGCGTGCTTTAAGAGGAGATATCGCAAACAACATGCCACATCTCGATTTGCCTCTAATTCCTCAAAATGTCGAAAAAATTTCATCTGCAATCGAAAGACTCGAAGCAATGCGAAACGAGGCAAGACAGTTCGATGATGTATTCACTGAACGCGACAATACAACTCTGAACGTGACAATTGCTAATCTTAGTGAAGCAAAAAGGGAAATGGATCGAATTAAACGAAAGATGGATGGTTTGATGTTGATTTTGCAACTCCCTGGTGATCCTGAAAACCACGAATCACTTAAAGAAGCTGTCAGTCATATGGAAAATGTCAAAGCTGAAGCATACGTGTATGATGGACTATTCGGAACTACAGAAGATAACGTTCTACAAAAAGCACTTCAGAATGCATACACACTGAGTGATGAAAGAAAATCACTTCAAGAAAAGATTGAATTCCTAATACCTACATTACAGCTTCCGATGCTTCCAAGAAATTATTCCCAACTTAGTGAGGCTTTAGAAAAAGTACTTTTGTTGAGAAAACGGGCTATCAGATTTAAGAATTTATTTACGTCTGATTATGAGTCCTGTCTAAATCAAGCTTCAGAACATGTTGCTCTTCTAGAAACAAAACGCGAAGAGTTAAAAGAAAACATTTCGAAATGTATGCCTGATATTGGATTATCAAAATTTCCGGCATATTATGACAGAATAAAAACCGCCGTCGAGCAAATGTCAGAAGCTAAAGAAGAATCAAGAGGATTTGAAGAAATCTTCACAGAAAAGCACGCCGAAATGCTCCAAAAAGGTAATGTGAATTTTAAAATACTACAGGCAGAAAAAGAAGATATTGAAAACGATTTAAAAGTATGTTTGCCACAATTACAACTTCCTATGATTCCTGGTAACTTTGAAGAAATATCTTCAGGAGTGAAAACTCTGACAAGGATTTCAGCTCTAGCTAAAGAGTTCGGATTATATGAAGATGAATATGACTCTATTCTGGAAAAGGCGATTTTCAATAGAGATGTTTTGGCTGAGAGAAAAGAGCAAATACAAGCAGACATCGAAAAAGTGAAGGTTGCTCTTCAACTCCAAGCTGTCCCAGAAAATCTAGTCAATCTTCGCCTTGCTGTCGAAAAAATGAAGACGTTGAAAGAGTCATCTAGTGGTTTTGAGAATTTATTTACCAATCAAAATGAAAGCGAACTTTTTGAAGCCGCAGCAAATTTGGAGCAGTTGACAAAGAAGGTCGAGAAATTGAACGAGGCACGTCATAAATTAGATGAAGCTGTTATAAAACGAAATTATGTAAAACTCAAACATGCGATCAAACGAGCAAGTCGTGCCCCATTTTCCAATAGTGTAGATCTTAAAGAACCCCGGAAACTTCTTAATTTCCTAGATCCAAAGGAACGGTGCACCGAAGTGAAAGATGCAATGGAGCAGCGAGAAATTGACAAGCTCGAAGAAGCCTTGATGAACATGAGAGAAGCTGGTGTTATTGACGATTCACTCGAAGACCAGGCACGGGATACCCTTAAAAAGCTCCACAAACAAAAGAAAAAAGATGAAAAGATAAGACGAAAGATTGAAAGGGAAAGAGCAAGAAGGCAACGAGAAATGGATAAACAGATTGAAAATGTATCCAATGCCATCGAAGCCAGAGATATTGAAATATTAGAACAAGCATTGAATGATTTCGAAAACAGCGAGTTCGACGAAGCAGAATTATCGATTGTGCCAGAAGCAAAACAATTGCTTGAACATCTCAAAATAGAACGTATGCGGAAGAGATTGCAAGATGGAGTTTTCAAAAGAGATTTCAACATGCTTCTGGATGCTCTTATTGACGCTGATTACGGAAAGTAAGTTAAACTATTGCGTGTGTTAATATGTAATACGCATGCCTGACTGCAATCGAGACACACGGTAATGTTCTAAAAGTAAATTTTCTTCCGACATCTCAAAAGTTAAACAGTTCTTAGGAGTTTCTTGTTCACTTGTATAATTTCGGTACCTATTAAGCAAATTAACAATTTTCTTCAAAGTTGGACGCTTCTTGTTTAAACCCGTCCTGATAAAAAGATCTGAAATGCCTCTTGAAACATTCGCACACCATGAAGCACAATATTCCAGTTAAATTATTTAAATTCTTTTCTGAAATAATTTATGATAATTTGAAATTACTAATTTCAATTGTAAATTATTAACTGACAATTCAGATTTGAGACTCATTTGCAAAAAGAGTATGACGACGCTAAAGAACTTCTTCTACATCTACAAGAAATGATGAGACTTCGTGATGCCATTGCAAAAATGACGAGATCGTCTATATCAGAAGTTCACGGATATCCTAATCCTCCAAGAATGGTAAAAAAGATAATGATGGCAATTTACATCATTTTGGGTGAATCGCCAAAAGAAATGAAGGTAACTTGACATTTTAATACAAATAAGCGGGTTATATACTCGCACTTGCTACTGAATTAGGAAACTGAAACCACGAACCTTCACTAAAGAGATTGTGAAATATTTGATTATACGTGGCATTATACTAAGTATCTCTGAGCTTAAAAACACGAACTTATTAACGCAAGACGTAGCCTAAGCCTTAGCCTACATGTGGTATCACCCTAATTTAAGTCTGAAAATCGTTCAACTCTTATTCCTACCGTTTTGAATTGAATTGTCGATAACTTTGGCTTTTTCCATGAAAACACTTTTTAACCATACTTTTGTAAATGAATTATTTGTAAAAAAAATTAGTAATGATATCTGTAATTATTATTTTGATAAATGTGTAAATGATTTATTTGACAAAAGAATTACCGATAGTTGCTTTTTGGTCAATATGCTCTTCTCTTTTACACACATTTCACTGAATAAGATGAACGAATCTCTAATGCTCCGTTCACGTAATGGTTTTTTCTTTTTTGTAGAAATGGGTAAATATCCAAGCATTGTTGGGAAGACAAGATCGAAGTGCCATAACAAAACGAGTGCTGCGGTTTAAAATCCAGAATCTATCACCAGAAATTGCCGAGCAAGCAGGGACTTACCTTACGGATTTTAGTTTAGGAGATGCTGAAGCGATAAGCAGTGTGGCAGCAATGTTCTACGCATGGGTAAAAAATTGTTATATTTATATACTATTAATGTACGTAAACAAACGCTGTAATAAAGACTATACCAAAAAGAATGATGCTATATTATAAAAATTTATAATATAGCGCCTATATTTGTATTCTTTTATGTTAAAACAACATCACGCTTTTATATTTTCTAGACTTTTTTTCATTCATTTCTAAAATATTTCAGGCAAAATATGTTGTGAACGAAATGGATTTTCTCCAAAAAGAAGAGTTGAAACGTCAACAACAACACGAGGAAGCTGAGCAGGAAGACAATTCACAAAACTATGATCGCGACAGTTTTGACTCAGCTCATGACGACACTTCATCAGAGAAATCCAAGGAACATGATGGAGAGGACCACAACCTTCCAAAAACAATTACAGTGGATGAAGCTGGTTATTACGCAGATGATGATTTTGCATAAATTCATACTTATCACATCAAATTTTACATTTTCCAGTTCCATATACATATTGGTGGATATATAACCCTGCCAAAACAATCTACTTTGTCAACTATTACAAGACTATCATCAGTACGATATACAAACTCTTTGATTAACTAAACTATATATATTGATTATAAATAAGAATATATATAGGCTAAATGGATTTGTTTCAATTGAATAAATAAATATATATTTTATTTTTTATTAGCATAATAATGTTTGATAACTAGTAGAGTAACAAGAGAAAGGGTCCATGGTATAATGGTCTCGACAAGATTATAATACGAGATAGCAATCGGCGACCGCCGACTTATCGACGCGCAAAAAAAAAATTAAACAATTAATTACTTAATAACTTGCTGCTCATACGTCATAATTCATCCAAAATCAATAGGCTTCTGGTCCGAGATATGATGAATGCACATGCAAAATTTGGAGCAGATTCAACCTCGCTTTTGTGATTAATCGCGTAACATACGAAAGTGTTTAACAGACAGACAGACAGACAGACAAATGCCTATCAACATACTTACCGATCAAGATCGATAAGTAACAAGATAGCAATCAGAGACCGCTGACTCATCGATCTAGCGGCGTGTATCCTGCGCTCTGACTCATAAGTGACACCGCGTGTCCCATCACTAATTAATTGAAAGATCGCTAATTATACAACATAAATCACCCAAAATCAATAGGCTTCTGGTCCAAGATATGATGAATGGGCGTGCAATATTTGGAGCCGATTCAACCTCGCTTTCGTGAGATATCGCGTAACATACGAAAGTGTCTAACAGACAGACAGACAAATGCCTTTTAACATACTTACCGATCAAGATCGATAAGTAATAATAATGCTATAGGGATGTTTTGGGTCATTATAATATTTTATTCAAGAAGGTCTTCAATTACTGCAAAAAGTTTGAGTGATTAGTAGTACGGTAGTACGGTAATATTCACCCTTCGGCAAAAGTTTAAAAAAAAACTTATCATCACTGAATAAAACACTATACTACAAATTAATATACAGGTGTTGTAACTCTTACTGATTTACTTGAGAGAGAGAGAGAATTAATTTTTTTTGTCAAACCAGAAAACATAACGATGATACAATAAATAATAAAACTAGATAGCGATCGGACACCGCCGACTTATCGATCTTCCGCAAGTTCAATATTTTACTCGTCAAAAAAGAAATTAATGTAGTTTTCGGTATATGACTGGGTGATAACGATGCGACTATATACGTCATCCGAGTCAGTTACCACCCAATTCGAATACTTGAAAAAATAAATTGAAACGGGTTCTAATACAATATGAACTATTAGCAGTGGCGGCGCGTCAATAGGGCCAACCGGGGCAATGCCCCGGTTGTTTTTTTCGGTATAATAAAAAATATTCGAAAAATACCTCAATATCGGTTGCACAGACTGTCTACACTAGCCATATTCTCCCCGACATGGTTCATTTTTCGCTCGCAAAGCCTTCGCCGAACGTCGACGGGGCGACACCGATTTTACCCCGGTTGCTCATTGTGTATCGTATTCTCTCTTTTATCCACTCGCCGCGTTTGTCTCGTTTGTTACTTATCGATCTTAAGATCGGTAAGTATATTGATAGGTATTTGTATGTATGTCTGTGTGTGTGTGTGTGTGTGTGTGTGTGTCTGTTAGATGCACGCGATATCTCACGAAAGCGAGATTGAATCTGCTTCAGATTTTGCATGTGCATTCATCTTATCTGAGACCAGAAGCCTATTGATTTTGGGCGAATTATGTCGTATAATTAGCGAGTTATCAATCAATTATTGTTATAGTGATCTAGATTTTTGTAAAGCGAGAGAATTTTGAAACCCGCCGAGTGTGTGTGTGCGATGCGCAGTGCGCAAGTTACAAGAGCGGATGAATCGAAACTGCAGTTTCTGTTTTGGGGGATCCCCTAACTATCGATCGATAAGTCTTCGGTATCCAACCGATATTCTCGTTTTCTGTTTCTTCTACTAAATCATCGGGGCTAGCCCCGAAATTATGACGACACAATGCCGACGTTTCTTACAACAACGTGTTGACATATTCACGCATTCCTTCTCGTTCGTTGGTTGCTTGAAGAGTTGATAGTTTCCTCGCCTTCGTTTTTGTCGCTTGTTTCGCTATTTGAATCAGTTAGAGACCTTTAGTCCATTTGCTTTCGATTTTCCACATTCCTTTTGAGCTCCTCACTTCTTTCCGGCTTCGCATTTCTTAGCCTTAGACCTCATAATGAATAGGGTTGATGCACTACTTTGCACTCCGTTTTCGCAGCTGCCGCTGGAACAAAAATTAGAGGTACAACGTCTTGGGCCTTATCAACCAAAAAATTGTTCACTGGAACAATCCCATGACGGAGGAAAGCGTCGGCGTACATTCTGCGCAGAAACTTGGTATAAAAAACACGAATGGTTGTGTTACAGCGAGGACAAAAATGCACTTTTTTGTTTTTATTGCCTACTTTTGCTACCGCCCGTGACTCACGTTGGTGTAAATTTGGTTTTAGAGATCTTAAACATCTTTCCGAGCGTGCCAGGGATCATCAATCTTCTATGGAGCATCTGGACAATGCAGTAAAATACCGAACATTCGGAAATGTTAATATTTCAGCACAGTTGGATGAAGGACGCGCGGTTTCTATTCGTCGGCACAACCAAAACGTCGAGAAAAACCGCCATGTTCTCGGTCGATTAATAGATGTTTTGAAGTTTATTGGTTGTCACGAGCTGTCCCTCCGTGGGCACGATGAACGGGCTGGCTCTTTTAATAGAGGGGTATTTTTGGATATGGTGGAATACACCGCATCCCTAGATACAGTATTATGAGATCATCTTGATGCCGCAACTGTTTCGAAAGGGACATCTAAGGATATCCAAAATGATTTGCTCGACTCAATTTATAAAATTTATTTACAACATTTGGCTCTGGAAATTGAGAATTGCCAGTTCCTTTCGATTCAGTCTGACGAGACAACTGACATCACGTGCGTTTCCCAACTGGCTGTGATTTTTCGGTTTGTGAAAGATGGTAAACCTACCGAGAGATTTCACGGCTTTGTACCAATCGTTGATCGCACGGCTTGCGGGATATCGGCTGTACTGAAAGAAGTGTTACAGCCTTACAACGCGAAGTCAAAATTGATAGCTCGAACTTATGACGGCGCGGCAGTCATGAGTGGGTCGAAACATGGTGTTCAAGTTTATATAAAAGAAGATTTTCCTCATGCGCATTTTTTACATTGTTATGCACACCAATTTAATCTCGTTATTAAAAATATGTGTCTTGATACCCCTCTCGTCCGTATATTTTTTGCAAATGTTTCGGGGTTTTCTTCATTTTTTTCCGTTTCGCCGAAGCGCTCTGACCTCCTTCGCCAGATATGTAGCCGCCGTCTCCCAGCTTGTGCACCAACACGTTGTAACTTCGAATCACGCGTGGTGCAGGGCGTGTCCGAAATTAGGTCTGAGCTCACTGAGTGTTTCAATGGCATTCAGATCTCTCCGGTTTGGGACGAACGCTCTGTGAGGGAGCGTCTGCTAGAAGATGGTGAGTTTTCATTTTTTCTCGCTTTTTTATCCACAATATTCTATCACGTGGATGTATTATACGGCGCATTGCAGTCAAGGCTAATGGATGGAGCGTCTGTACAGTCGTGTATTTCAGACTTCTGCGATGCTGTATCTCGTATCCGGGAAACAATAAAATACGACGACACATGGAGTGCTTCTTTACGCCGCGGGCAAACAACGCAGCGTTTGATTTTGTCTGCAAAGAAATGCTGTGACATTCTGGTGAATCAAATAGGCGATCGTCTGCGCACTGAACACCTTGACGCGTTCTCTTTGATGAACCCCAAAAATTTTTCAAAATTTGCACGTCAATTTCCCATCTATTTGTTGGCTACTGTCTCCAAATTTTACCCCATGATAAACGTGGGTAAATTGGAAAATGAATTGCGATGTATATACACCAATCAAACTTTTTTGAACATCACATCAACTTGCGCGCTCTATGGGTTCCTCATAGATAACACTCTAGTAACTACCTTTGCGGCGTCTGCAAAATTTCTGGACATCATTTTGGCGACGCCTATTTCTTCCGCCGACGCAGAGCGAACATTCAGCACGCTGAAGCGTATTAAAACGTATCTCAGAAACACAATGAAGCAAGATAGATTAAATTCCTTGGCTGTTTTATCCATTCACAGAGACGTTATTTCTGGGATGCATGACTTTAATCAGCGGGTTATTGAGCATTTTGCTTCCAAGAAACCGCGGCGTGTTGCATATATGTTCAAGCAGTAGGAGTATAGCAGCATATATATCTATGAGTGAGCGACGCATGTCCTTACATTTGCATTAACTTTCCTTTCTTCATAGTAACGTTTTAAACCTTATTTTAGGTTTTGTCTGCTTTCCCGAAGTTTCTGTTAATATGTCATTGTATTTATCTGGGTAAATATCGCCATTCCCTTTGAAAGAGGTTTCAAAATAAACTATGTCTATATTTATTTATCCCTTGACTTGGACCGGTTTTAAAGAAACTTTCTTATCGTTAAAAATTGTCGCTTTTGCCGATTGGTTGTTACCGATGGAATGGTTTTTATACTCATAAAATGATGGGAGAACTTACAGCGCTCATCCTGTCCCCGTAGATGGGGGTGACTTGGTCCCGCAGTAGCTTGCCCCGGTTGTCAAAATGACCACGCGCCGCCACTGACTATTAGTATATATATATATAAAAAACTATATACTATACATTATATACAGATATAATCTGATCAGAAACAGGATAGGGGAATTAACCAAATAAATGTTCAAATTCATTGAATTTTGTGGATGGAAGTTTGGTATATGGAATGAATTGGATCAAACCATATAATCAACAATAAATACAAAGAAAAAGGGGATTTAAGGTTGATACATTTTGCAAGTCTAGAAATATTATACGCATAACTGTATTAAAAAGAATTTTGCTTATTTTTTATTTGATTGGATGCAGATATACATAAATTTGACAGTAAGTGCACAGAACAAACACTGAAATGAAAATTTAGCAGCAACGTTAAGCACAACAATATAAAATTGATCTTACAGCAGTACTGATTATATTTAATAAATTTTGACAGGATTCTTTGAATAAACTACAATTGTCCAACATCTTTATCTTTTCGTTTAATGTGTGGGGCGTATGATTTGGTATAAAAATTAGTTTATCTCTTTATAATTGCACAGTGATAGTTATATTCACCCCACATTATACAGTACCACGAAAAATATATATGGTGTATTAATTATGGAGTTCCTGCATGTCGCAGCACTATCGCAGTGAAATAAATAAACTTTACCTGGAGAGTGTTTAAGTATATGAACAAAAAACAATTGTTCACACTAGCGTCCCTGTTTTGCATACCGTATTCAACTTCTGACGAAACAAATACAATAAGCATTTATTTTTTATTGAACAATTGTTCCAACTAGCGTCGCTGTTTTGAATGCTTTTATTCAACTGCTCACCTCACGGAACGTATACAATAAGCATTGATATTTAATTGTATTACTTCTCTCCCATACATTAGTAATCGTTACGACGCGTTGGGGAAGCCAGCTTCATTGATCTAAAAGACGCTAATTTATATATCAAGTTGCTGCTATTACGGCTTGATCTTACATTGTATCCAGCTATTATATTTCTGTGTTTACATTCAGGTAAACACTATATCCGACATACTTTTGTTCCCGGTACATATACGTGGTATTATTTGTAGTTCATCAAATCGAGTTTAACTCTCTTAACATATTCAAGAAGTATTGAAGGTAAGAATAATATTTTCGTGCAATTTTGTCTGCAGTAAATATTGTCTCCAGATGTATCTAAAATGTAGAGTTAGAGCCATATCTCGATCCACATCTATACGATTTAGCATAAGAACAATAGTAAATGTTGGAACTGTCAGGAGTTACACAAAAATGCACTAAATTTTATCGTCTTTTGAGAACATCTTTGAAGGTTATACTAATTTTCTCCTTTTCTTTGAGGTTCAGTGTATAATTTCTACAGCATGTCTGCTATTGCGAATAGCTTTGGGAAAAGCGATAAAATACAATGTACACTTTACTGCAAACAAAGGACATTGCAGGTGAGAGAGTTATCAAAATCAATAGAAGAAAATTTGTGTTTATTACTCATTAAGGCAAATAGGTAGATCGGTAAATAAACGATGAACCATGTATTATAGAATCGGACATACAGTATATAAAATTTGGTTTATTTAGCTCCTTCTGGATTGAATTTGGTTCTTCGCCGTAAATAAAAGTAGCATTAAGTACAACAGGTTTATATCTATTTTTCTATTTATATAGATAATCAGCTTAAAAAAAGATGACGAAAATACAGAAACAGGAACTTCAGGAGACGAAGGATGTAACGCGTGTCTGGTACGAACGAAAGGACATGATAATAATAAGGTGGTGTATGATCACAAAGAGACATTTTGATTAGTTTCTTGTAGCAAAACTACATTCGTCTGCTTGTGCAAACTTACACATTGAAATGTCGTCCAGGAAAAAGGTTTCTGCACGACATACATGGAACCACATACATTTACTACATAATGAGAGTTACTTGTGCGCGTTTTTATATTTTAGTTTTCAATAATTGCCTTTTCAAACCAAACGTACTTGGTGTGCTGCAGAAAACCATGCCGGTGTTACCATGAAATATATAAAATATAAAAGACGATGAGGAATCTTGATTGATCTGGCTTCGAATTGTTGAATTTCAGCGTTAAAGCATCGGGAAAAATATTTAATATAGACATAAATTTTATGATAAAAAATTGTACCAGTGTGTTGCATCTAGATCTTTTATTCAGCGTGCAATCTTCTTCCGTTCAGCGTGATATACTTCTTTGTTTTCAGCATTGTTCAACAACTGATTTCAAGAAACACAACACAAAAGACTATTTATCGAAAAAGATGACCGACTACTTTGAGCGCCAGGTCTGGAACATTTGCTAATTTTGTTCAGCAATTTTCCCAACGACTTTTAGCGTTTTTTTAGTTTTTTCATGAAAGAAAAAACTCGTTTTTATTTAGGGTGTTTTTGAGTCGAGTTAGAGCAAGGTGGTCCACACCCATGCCCGCGGGCCACATGTGGCCCTCCGCTCCATTATCTGTGCCCCGCGCCGCATCCAGAGAGTAATCAAGATATCGTATTTTAAATTGCTTCTCATAAAATAAATCAGAAAAATCGTTTGACATATTGTTGTTATATCACTACTGTGACTGAATTGGCTTGTATGATGGCTAGCTGAAGCAACTAGCAAAGTTGAAGATGTGATGGGCAGTCTAAATTGTTACCTGGATTTCTATCGTTTTGGTCGGGAATATATGCTAACGATATAGGCATGATAGAAAACTAAACATTGGATGCGGATTCGATTAGCCTAGGTTGGCAATGCCTGATAACTATGTGTTTACACAATAAAAGTGCTTGTTTTGTGTGCTTGTTTTGTATTGCACTGTTTACCTATTCTTGGTACTATTGTGGCCCGCGATCAATGCCAAAATAATTCTGTGGCCCGCGGAGCCCACAACTTTGGACCACCCTGAGTTAGAGCGTGAAATAAATCGGGCATAGTAGGAGTTTGATATAACTGAAATAATAAAATGAACAACGATAGGCAGAAAACCTCATGTTGTTTTCGGTTTCATGATTGTTCTAAGCATTTTTACAAACAAGGCAAAAAGCCTCGTGTTGTGTCTGAATATATCAATAAGGCGAAGTATCAATCATATGAAATAATAAAAATCAAACCGTACACCTTTTACAGAAAACTAAAGCTTGCGCTTTATCACTTCCGGAAGAATCTCCACTAAGAATGCAGGTTATTGTGGAATTGGAGCCAAAAATATACTCGATACCCTCGCTCCGGAAATCATATGAAACGCATTTCATATTCGTAGTTGATTTTGACGTTTTCACTGAATTTGAGGTAATTTATTTACTTTTATCTGGATTATTTATTATAAGATTCATAAATTAGTTGTCATTTTCCTTTTTTCCTTAACCGAATCTGGTCATTAATATCTATTGTAGATGGACAATAACAGCTATTCTGATTGGTTTAAAAAAGTGTGTATTCAAACACAGCCTAGCAATATTTTGGTGCGGAATTCTGCAACCCCAAACCTGATGATAGAGGGACATGAGCATTGCCTAATAAAGAGTAATTATAAGTAACGAGATACGATCTCGCGGCGTGTATCCTTCGCTCTGACTCAATAGCGTGGAAAATTTCTCAGAGGAAACTTGCGCATCGCGACGATGTCAAATGGACAATGATACGATCTCGCGGCGTGTATCCTTCGCTCTGACTCATAGCGTGGAAAATTTCTGGAAGGATATTTGCGCATCGCGACGACGTCAAAATTACAAGAGGGATATGGACAATGCTTATAAAGATTAATCACGAGAATATCGGTCAGAGACCGAAGACTTATCGATCGAAAGTTGGGGGATCTCCAAAACAGCGCTCTTACTCCATAGTGACACCTTGTGTCCCATCACTAATTAATTAATAACTCGCTAATTATACGACATAATTCATCCAAAACCAATAGGCTTCTGACACGACATATGATGAATGCACATGCAAAATCTGGAGCAGATTCAATCTCGCTTTCGTGAGATATCGTGCGCATCTAACAGACAGACAGACAAACAGACAAACACCTATCAACATACTTACCGATTAAAATCGATAAGTAACGAGATACGATCTAGCGGTGTGTATACTTCGCTATGACTCATTAGCGTGAAAACTTGCGCATCGCCACACATAGCGCGTCTCAAAAATTTCTCGCTTTGCAAAAATCGTTCTCTCGATTTGCAAAAATCCAGATCTTTTCATCACTAATTAATTAATAACTCGCTAATTATACGACATAATTCATCCAAAATCAATAGGCTTCTGATCCGAGCTATGCTTTGGAGCAGATTCAACCTCGCTTTCGTGAGATATCGCGTGCATCTAACAGACAGACAGACTTACAGACAGACAAATACCAAATATCAACATAGTAACCGATCTTAAGATCGATAAGTAATAATATACATTGGTTGCAATGACTCAAAAGACACTTTAGTAGCGTGATTTCGAATGACATTATATATTGGATCTCTCCGCTATAGGACACCCTTATTATCAGTCGTCCTGTCTGTCTGTCTGTATGGACGTATCGTCAAAACGGCTGGATCAAACTGGTTGTAATTTTTCACCAATGTTATCTTGGTCTTCCTAGTATTGTGCGTTTTATAGAAGGTCCGGATAGAGGTTTCCTTTCCATGGCAACAATGAATAACGCGCCGAACGTTATGAAATTTCCATTTTTTTTCACATATTTCTGCCGTTTTCTCGCCAACCAAGTTGAAAATTGAAATTCCAAAAACACAACCTCCCGCATAGGAAAATACTATTTCCAACTATTTGTCTTTGGACTCGATACCTCATGAACTGGAGAAGCGTTAATTTTAGTGAGCATCATTTTTTTTGTAATTTTTAGCCACAGTATATCAGTCACGCGAGTATGTCTACAAAACACGCAGCGCTTAAATGAACTGGCTTTTATGGTAACCCGCTCACTTACTTAATCGCACCGCCGTTAAAGATCCTCATGTTTTTATGGATGGCAACTGGTTGCTTGAGAGCGGGCCTCAACTATCAGCGGAGATCCTGGTCGCCTACTGACTTGTAATATTGATTATAAGTATATATATATACATATATATATATATTGGGTATATTCATTGCAAACTTTAAAAGTGGCTAACAAGTATTAACGTGTTTCAGTCAGTGTTTCAAGAAATAAAAACAGATGATCATATTTCTCTTCTTATTTCTGATGAAAAGCCGGAACTACGAATCGCTAAGGAGTATAAGGTAACTCATGAGTTGAGTTCAGGGTATAATTTTTCTTGTTTCAAATTGTATAATTTTTTATTATATTCGACATATTCGTACATATATTTATTTAACCTGCTGATAAAAAAATAAAATATATGCATTTATTGATGATATATGGATATTTTAAAAATGGTCACGAGGTATCGAAATCGTTTTTTTCTTATATTGAACTTAGTCATTGAAACAAATGTTGGAAACATGAATTTGCGGTACTGACAATTTAGGAACATTTATTTTTTAAACAATATGGATTTTTACGTACTGGAGCCAATAGATACATTAAAATGATTATGCCATAATCATTAACTGAATCTTAGGTGCCTGAATATGCTCCCAGATTAATCTTGAGGCAAGTATAATCTAGAATAGACATTGCTTGATATTTAACTTTTTCATTGAATCTTACTCTTAATATTGTGTCATGGACCTATACTGATATTATAACTTAGTCACCATAACTTAGAAATTATATACTCAAAAAGAATGAAGTCCTGAATATTCCAAATGAGCACGGAGAAGACTTAGTGGATAAAGTGAGACAGCGCAATGAGGAAATATCAGGGGAAGAAGGGAAGCCTCATCAAAAAGCATGTTCTTGTTTAATTGAAGCGTTAAGACTTAGGTCGCAAAAACCGTAAGTGATGCGAATTACTACCAAAAATATCATAATCTGAATGCACCAGCAACGAATTTCAATTTGAAAAACCTTCAAACATGGTCATATGGATATAATTGACTGTACTTGACTAGATATTTCCAAATAAAAAATCTTTCCATATTTTTTAATGAAACTTGATAAACGTAAAATTATTGTCCAGGCTAAACTTTATATAATACATGTAAGAGGAAAATTGTATGGTAAATTTTAAGGTTGAACCATCGGCTTGGTGTCGCAGATTCGGATTTCAATTCACAACGCCATATTTTTCTCATATCAGATGGTCACGTCGATGGATTAGTTAATGATCTTATAGAAAAATATAAGACAGAAGAGGAAAAATTGGGAACTAACATCCCCGTCACTGTATTCTCCAAAATCTCTACAAACGTGCTCCAAGAAGTATGCTTGACGTTATACGTATAGTTAAAATTAAGTAATCTATCCCTAATGAAAAAAATTTAAAAACAATCGATTTTATTTCAATCAATTGACCAATGATCTTCAATCTGCAGTACTTTGAGATATGGAAACACTTATTTTGTCACGCTTGGCTCCCGATATAGCCGGGAAAGCACTTATGAACATATATAAATATGGCTCTAATATGATTGGTTAGTAAGAGTTAATATCCTTTACGTATACGTCTTATCGTGGACGTATGTCAAAACAAAAGCAATAAGACATTTTAGCGTCGTTTTCAAGCATATTGATATATGCTTGTCCGAGTGTTCGTAATCACGGTAGCGCGTCATTTTTTTTATTATCTTATTTTCAATTCTACGAATTTTATGTCTGTAAGCATTTGAAAGCTAAGTGATATACAAAGAATCTGTGTTTACTTCAAACAAAGTAATTTGAGCGAGCTAGCAATCGTTTCCCGCGTTAAACAAGCTATCAACCATTACCCTCACAAGCTCGTCCGAAACTGCTCGCGAAAATAATTGCTCTTTATATCTTTTCGTTTGAAAGATGACGTAGTGCTCATTTTCTGGAGTATTTGATGTCGAGCCGATCTCGCTTGTGTTCGTCACAGCGATATCAAATACAAAACTTTTTTTGAATTTTTTTCTTTAATTTCTCTCGTTTTCAACGCAACGGGGTAGAGGTAAACGTGCAGGTGTCTCGGCTGGTAGGAAGCGGCGTAAATAAGTTTTCCAATGCGATGTCAGTGAAGCTTCACGCACATTTGAAAAAAAAAGTTATGACATTTTTAGGAGGGTTATACATGAGACTGAGAGGGAGGCCGGCTAGATTGGGTTTCAAATATTTTTTGGAAAACCAGATGCTCAGATGATTCACTGAGTTACTTCACAATTACCGATGTGCAAGAATTGCTCTCTTGTTTACAGTGGGATTCTCCATTGTCAAGTGGCAACTTGTAATCTTGCACAACTCAATAGAAAAATCTAAAAAACGAATGTATAACTAAAATATGAGCCCATTTTTGTAAATTAAATATGCATTAATGTGGTTTCATTATCTTTGTACCCACGTACATTTGCACTCGTAATTTGCACCCAGGACAATTGCACCCATGAATAATTGCACTCGCAGATTTTTGCACCCGCATACAGATTGCAGCCATGGACATTTGCACCAATGAAAATTACCACCCACAAACATTTGCACCCATATACATTTGAACCCACGGACATTTCAACCCGGTACCTTTCAACCCGCAAACATTCGCACCCGCGCACATTTGCACCCGCGTACATTTGCACCCACATACTTTTGCTCCTGAGTACATTTGTACACATAAAAATTTGCTTCCACGGATACTTGCATTTATGGACAATTGCACGCATGGAATTTTGCACCCGCAAACATTTACACCCATGAATACCAGTATTTAGGGTAGAGAATGTTCTATTGCCATTTCCGCCGAAATACCGACATGCTGAGTTTATGAATAGTAAAGAAGACGAATTCACTGCAAACCTCAATGCGATTAATCAGGATTTCCAACCATTAAGACAGAAAACAACCCGCATCGGTGTCGACACCATTATGACCCAATAATATAAGAGTAGAAAAGTTCTGTAAAGTGTAAACGAGAATATCTGTCGGAGACCGAAGACTTATCGATCGATTCATGCGCTCTTACTCTATAGTGACACCGTTCATCGCGTCACTAATTAATTAATAGCTCGCTAATTATACGACATAATTCATCCAAAATCGATAAGTTTCTGGTCCGAGATATGATGAATGCACATGCAAAATTTGGAGCAGATTCAATCTCGCTTTCGTGAGATATCACGTGTATCTAACAGACAAACAAACATACAAACAAACAGACAAATACCTACCAACATACTTACCGACCAAGATCGATAAGTAACAACTAAAAATTGTGCTTTCTCGTATCTATACGTATTTCACGAAGCACCTCTCTTGTCTTGTGCTAGATTATATTAATTTATGTACGACCACTTTTCTCGCCATCGTCTACTAACCCTCGTACATTCGACTAAGTTTTTATCGAAATTTCATCGAAAGAAAATGACCGACAAAAGAGGAAAAGAATTATATCTCGCAATGACATTCGGTTATTCGTGTACATAAATATGGGTGCGTTTATGCTTGGGGTTGTTATGATGAAAATAGCTTTCATCTCGCTATTCGTAGGGCTGCTATTGTGGTTTTGAATAAATAGCTCTCCTATTTCACTGGACCAATCAATTTGAAATTTTCGATATTCGATCGATACTCAAATTTTTCTGTTTCATTATAATACATTGAAATACTGTTTTGACATTTATGTTCATATATCTGAGCATTGACCTCTTTTGCTAATATTGAAATTCTAAGTTCCCTATATTTATATTTATAATGGTGTTTAGATAGCTTGTGAACTTGGCAGTGAACCTGTTTATCTGTTTAATATTGAAGACGAAGAAAACAGCAAAACGCAGATAAATCCTAACATGAAGGATAATTCAAAAAATAACGAAAGTCTCGCTAGCAATATGCTTGCACAAATCAAGAAAAAAATGGAGAATGTGAGGTATAACATCATTTCTTTCATTCATCGAATTTTAAAGTGATGTGGAAAATAAAGATAAAATTCTAAATTAAGTAAACGAGGCATAATTAGGTCAAATAAACGATACTTAATATATATTTGTTTGTGGCAGGACTTCCTACAAGAGATCTAAATATAATATAATATGCTTGTTTCAGATCGAAGCTGACTATCATAACTATATGCCAGACTAGTCTAATTACTTTTCGTCTGATTACGAGTTCAAGTCGTATATGATATTATCCAGATGTTACAGATGCGTATGCTTGTTATCGGGGAGGGCAATAATCGACTAGAGGCACCCTTATCCACCTAGCAACGGCATAGGATTTTGAAATAAGGTCTCTCATGAAGATCGCCGAAAACATGCAAACCTACGGGTTCAACGACTCACTCGGAGAAACTGAGAGCTTCTCATTTATACTATTCAATTATTGTTATTTTACTCAAACTAGGTCTTCTGATTTCTTAAAGAATATACGTGT